TATATGTCAAATTGAAATTCAAGGAAAGAAATTTAAGGGTCTTATAGATACCGGAGCTGATGTTTCTCTTATCAGTTCTCAACAATGGCCAAAGAATTGGGAATTACAAGATTCAGATACTAATATTGTAGGAATAGGAAGAGCCTCAGGCTTACGTCAAAGTGTTCAAATTCTTTGCACAGGACCGGAGGGACAACAGGGATTTTTACAACCTTATGTTGCTGACATTCCTATCGATGTATGGGGTAGAAATTTACTAACTCAATGGGACGCAGAACTTTGGATTCCCCCGAAGCAATATAGTCCCCAAAGTCAAAAAATCATGAGTCAAATGGGATTTCAACCTGGAAAAGGGTTAGGAAAATTTAATCAGGGCATTACTCAGCCTCCTCAACTCTCATCTCAGCAAGGAAAACAAGGACTAGGCTATCAGACAAATCAAAATAACCCTTTTATGTAGGGGCCACTGTTGAAGAGCTACGCACTCCTATGCCTCTCAAATGGAAAAATGACACCCCAATATGGATTGAACAGTGGCCCATTCCTCAAGAAAAATTAGAGGCTTTAACAAAATTAGTACAAATCCAATTAGAGCAAGACCATGTAGAACCATCTACTAGCCCTTGGAATTCCCAAGTTTTTGTCATCAAGAAAAAAACAGGAAAATGGCGAATGTTAACTGATCTCAGAGCTGTTAATGCCGTTGTTGAACCTATGGGTGCCCTTCAACCAGGGCTTCCCCAACCCTCCATGATTCCAAAAGATTGACCTCTTATAGTTACTGATTTACAGGACTGTTTTTTTTCGATCCCTCTACATCCTCAAGATTGTCCACGATTTTCATTTTCTATTCCATCCATTAACAATAAAGAACCACTTCAAAGGTATCAGTGGAAGGTACTTCCACTAGGAATGCTTAACAGTCCAACTATTTGTCAGCTTTATGTAGCTCGAGCTCTCACGCCAGTAAGAACTAAATTTTCTGATTGTTACATCATCATTATATGGATGATATCCTCTGTGCTGCATCCTCTATGGAACGGCTAGCAGCAGCATGCTCTAAATTACTTAAAAATCAACTTGATTTGGCAGGACTTTGCATAGCTCCAGATAAAATTCAAACAACTACTCCCGTAAAATACCTCGGGGCAATAGTTGATCAACAGACTATTAGACCTCAAAAGGTTCAGATTAGAAAAGATCAGATTTCTACCTTAAATGATTTACAAAAATTATTGGGAGACATTAATTGGTTACATCCAACCTTGGGCATTCCTACATATGCTCTTAGTAATTTGTTTAGTCTTTTACGAGGTACTTCACAGCTAAATAGCCCTCGTAAACTGACACCCCAAGCAATTCAGGAACTAGAATTGATAGAACAGAAGATACAAGAGGCTCAGACACACCGTGTAGATCCTTGTCAGCCTTTACAAGTTTTGCTTTTTTCTACACTGCATTCTCCTACAGCAGTTATAGTTCAACAAGACAAATTAGTTGAATGGCTCTTTTTGCCTAATAATTTTGTTATATCTCTTCCAACTTATGTGGAACTGGTCTCTGAGTTAATATCAAAAGCCCGTACTCGAGTTTTACACCTCAGTGGGCAAGAACCTAATCAAATTGTAGTTCCTTTTAAGAAACAGCAGATTTTTCATCTCAATATTCATAATAAATCTTGGCAGGTCGCCATAGGAAATTTTTATGGAACTCTTGATAACCACTACCCAAAAAATAAATTATTTCAATTTTTACAAAAGACCAATTGGATTTTACCCAAAAAGCTCTGACAGGAGCCACTCTCCCAAGGAATTACAGTTTTTACTGATGGATCTAATAATGGAAAAGCTTTAATTGTTAGTGAAAAAGAGTGTCAACTTGTTCACAAAAACTGTACTTCGGCACAAAAGGCTGAACTTGTGGCTGTTGTGACCGCTTCACAAACCTATTCTGAATCCTTAAATATTGTTTCTGATTCGGCTTATGTTGTTCATACGGTTCAGAACATCGAGACGGCGTCTCTATCATATAATTCCAATCCGTCTCTTCAGATTCTATTTAATCAACTCCAGCAGGTTATAAGAAATCGTCAACACCCATTTTTTTTTTTTTAGATTTTTTTTTTATTGGGCAATTGGGGGATGGGAACAGTGCTGGGGAATTAGGGGAAGGGGAACAGACAAGTTGCTGTCGTTTTGTTCTTCAGTCTAGTTGTGGAGGACGTTG